AAGTATTTGAGGTTTCAAAATCTGCCTCTACAAAGTCTTTTATATGTACTTTTTATAAAATCACTTTTACTAACTTACTATCTATTTTAGGTTTTGTTATTTATTAGACTACTTAACCCCTCTTGATTTAATACTACTGTTACGATTCTTATACATAATGATTTATATATAATGATCATATGTGTAATGATTTATGCATAATAATCGTATATATAATGATATTATGTGTAATGATTATACTAATGTAATATATAGAATGACTTAAATAAATAAATAAATAAATAATTCCAATAAATAAATATATAATTTAAAGTATAAGATAATAAGAAATAAATAAATAAAAAGAAATAAAGCATAGTTTAAAATAGGAGGTTCATTGGGCAATATGATCATTATCGTGACAGATACAGGATGTAGGTGAGATTTTCTGGGTCACATAAAAATCTGTTCTTCAATCAAAGTAAGAACATAAAATCTCTTTCTAGTTATACAGATCATTATCTGCATATATCAAAAAATTAATTTTTATTTATTCATTTTTATTATTGTTTCTTTACCTTGATAGTATCATCTAGTTGGTGTTCATTTAGATTTTGTTTTCTGTCGTTGATGTCAACTTTTCTTTTGTAGGTTTCATGCCGGTTCTTCGTAAGTAGTTTAATTTTTTTCTTCGTTTCTTTCTTGTGCTTTTCTTCTTTTTCGTTTCTCAATTATTTTTTCGAATGACTCTGCATTGTTCATTTGTTTCTTTGATAGATTTTGTGATACAGTAGTATCGTCCAGTTGTGCCAGTGCATCTTATGTTGTTGGTGTTTCTTTTTATATCATTAGTGATTTTTTTCACTTCGTATACTTGGTTACAATTATCAACATAATAAATGTTAAGAAAGACGAAAAGAAGTTTTTTAAATATTATATGAAAGTAGCTGAATTAGAAAATTCGAATACAATAAATAATATTGATCTTTGCTTTTTCTTCTTATATTGTTGATATCATTCCTTCTGTATTGGAGGTGAGGTTTCGTCTATAAATATAAATGTATGATTGAATTGATTCTATTTGATAGATTATCTGCTGTTAAAGAAATTGAAAAAGGAAGATTTGGTTCTGTATATTCAGTAATCTGGTTATTATATATATATATATATATTTGTTTTTTGTATATTTACTTTTATTTTCTTTACTTTTTTTATATATATATTAATTTATTTTTATTTTTTTTTTTCAAAAAAAAAACTTTAAACAGCTTCGTATACTTGGTTACAATTATCAACATGGTAAGTGTTAAAAAAGATGAAAAGAAGTCTTTTAAATATTGCATAAAAGTAGCTGAGTTAGAAAATTCAAATACGATAAATAATATTGGTCTTTGCTTCTTCTTCTTATATCATTGGTATTACTCCTTCTGTATTGAAGGTAAGGTTTCGCCTGTAAATATAAATATGCGATTGAATTGATTCTATTTGATAAATAATCTGATGTTAAAGAAATCAGAAAAGGAGGATTTAGTTCTATATATTTAGTTTTTTTTATTTTTTTTACTTCAGCGATTCTACTTTTATTTATTAAATCGGCAGTAAATTACAAATCTGCTCTCAGTTAGCTAAACCTACATGCAAATTGTTAAGATACTATATGCTTGTCTAAATAAAAATTCTTTCAATCTGTCTTATTATCGCAGTAAAACTACAGCCAAGACCAAGAATTTTATACTAGAGTATGACCCAGAAGCAACCCGCCTAAGTGACAATTTTTCTTCTTTCAGGATCCTCAACTTACTGAAGATATGAGCTCTGGATATCAACAGATGGAAGCATTGACCTTGTCAGAATCACCGCTCTACAATAGAGTGCCACCAATCTGATAATACTTTTTTGTAGAGAAGTAAAAAAAAAAAAAGTGTAAAGGTAAAACGAAAAGAGGGAAATTAAAAAACAAAAACATATAAGAAAATAACCAGGCTAAAAAGAAATCTAAAACACTATTCTAAAATCTAGGAGAACTTGTATACAGATATAAAAACCTGCTAACCAGGTAAAAAACTATCTACATGGTCATAAAAATCTATACATAGAGCTATCTAACAAAAAAGAAACTATAAACTAAAATGTACTTTAACCTGTGCAGAGGACTAAAAATTATATGCATATAACTTCGGAATATTACATATCTCTACTATATCACTCTAGTTTACAACTCTCATGTAATTCACCTCGAATCCTAAAATGCTAATTTTAAAGCCTCAATATGTGATCATTGGTTCTATTTATAACAGGCTGTTTTTTCCAATTTTACAAAGATCCTCTTACAGTTTTTCTTATCACCTTGCTTCTTCATTATACGAGATTAAATGGGTGTCTTCCTTATGGTCTATCGATATCATTAGAAGCTACTCCCTCGAGTCTGTCACATAGAGCATTCATTCTTGTACAGTCAAAATGATCCAAACACAGGACTTCCACGTATTTCAATCTAACTAAAATAGAACTTCCTCCTTACACGTGATTGTTGTGTTCCTTATTCGTCATATCATAACTTGAGACTTTCCGAAAGTGAAAATGTAAACAATGCCAATCTTTTGGAGGGGGGTAGCCAAATCCTCTACTTTTTGTCGAAAATTATAAAAAAAGAAAACAGCAGAAAAAAAGTATAGTTTTGCGAGTTTTCCAACCAAGGAGTATTATTCTAAGAGTTCTTCATATCTTTCTGTTCCCAAAATAACTTGATTCTTCTCTCTACTTACTGTTCTCAGAAACTCTTCTGGTTTGAATGCCGAATACAAAAAGGAGTTTATCCGAAAACAGAATAAGGCTTGACCCCTTTGCAAATTATCCAAAATGCCCACTCCTCAGTATATCATGTTTAAAACTTCGTCGACAACAGTTCGTATTAAGAAAACTTCAAGTTATTTTGTTCACTTCTGGTCTTGAGTTTTCAACTTGCTTTTGGGAGCTGGTTAGTACAAGTGATTATTAGAGAGAGTTGTGAATATCTTTGTCTGTATATTTAATAACCTGATTGTTTTATATATATATATATATATATATATTTGTTTTTTGTATATTCACTTTTATTTTTTTTACTTTTTTTTATATATATTAATTTATTTATTTTTTTTTCTTTCAAAAAAAAGACCCTAAACAGCTTCATACACTTGGTTACAATTATTAACATGATAACGGTATCAAGAAAGACAAAAGAAGTCTTTTGAATATTATATGAAAGCAGCTGAGTTAGGAAATTTGAATGTGATAAGATTTCGCTCGTAAATATAAATATATGATTGAATGAATTCTATTTGATAGATTATCTAATGTTAAAAAAATCAGAAAAGGAGGATTTGGTTCTATATATTCAGCAACCTATATATATATATATATTTGTTTTTTGTATATTCACTTTTATCTTCTTTACTTTTATATATATATATATTAATTTATTTATTTTTTCCTTTCAAAAAAGACTCTAAATAGCTTCGTATACTTGGTTACAATTATCAACATGATAATAGTGTAAAGAAAGATGAAAAGAAGTCTTTTAAATAGTACATAAAAGCAGTTAAGTTAGAAAATTCGAATATGATAAATGAAGTTGGTCTTTGCTTCTTCTTCTTATATCGTTAGTGTTGTTTCTTCTGCATTGGAGGTGAGGTTTTGTCTATAAATATGAACATGTGATTGAATTGATTCTATTTGATAGATTATCTAATGTTAAAGAAATCAGAAAAGAAGGATTTGGTTCTGTATATTCAGTAACCTGATTGTTTTATATATATATATATATATATATTTGTTTTTTGTATATTCATTTTTATCTTTTTTTATATATATTAATTTATTTTTTCTTCTTTCAAAAAAAAAGACCCTAAACAGCTTCATATACTTGGTTACAATTATCAATATAGTAACGATATCAAGAAAGATAAAAAAAAATCCTTTGAATATTATATAAAAGTAGCTAAGTTAGGAAATTTGAATATGATAAGGTTTCACCTGTAAATATAAACATATGATTGAATTGATTTCATTTGATAAATTATCTGATGTTAAAAAAATCAAAAAAGAAGGATTTGGTTCTGTATATTCAATAACCTGATTGTTTTATATATATATATATATATATATATATATATTTGTTTTTTGTACGTTCACTTTTATCTTTACTTTTTTTTATATATATATTTCTTCTTTCAAAAAAAAAAGACCCTAAACAGTTTTATATACTTGATTACAATTATTAATATAGTAATGGTATTTAAGAAAAACGAAAAGAAGTTTTTTGAATATTATATAAAAATAGCTGAGTTAGAAAATTCGAATACGATAAGGTTTCACTTGTAAATATGAACATGCAATAGAATTGATTCCATTTAATAGATTATTTAATATTAAAGAAATTAGAAAAAGAGGATTTGGTTCTATATATTCAGTAACCTAATTGTTTTATATATTTATATATATATATATATATTTGTTTTTTGTATGTTCACTTTTATCTTTACTTTTTTTTATATATATTAATTTATTTTTTCTTCTTTTAAAAAAAAAGACCCTAAACAGCTTTGTATACTTGGTTACAATTATCAATATAGTAATAGTATCAAAAAAGACAAAAAGAAGTCTTTTGAATATTATATAAAAATAGCTGAATTATGAAATTCGAATACAATAAGGTTTCGCCCGTAAATATAAATATATGATTAAATAAATTCTATTTGATAGATTATCTGATATAAAGAAATCAGAAAAGGAGAATTTGGTTCTGTATATTTAGCAATCTATATATATATATATATTTGTTTTTGTACGTTCACTTTTATTTTCTTTACTTTTATATATATATATATTAATTTATTTTTTCTTTTCAAAAAAAAAGACCCTAAATAGCTTCATACACTTGGTTACAATTATCAATATTGGTAATGGTATCAAGAAAGATGAAAAAAAGTCTTTTGAATATTATATGAAAGCAGCTAAGTTAGGAAATTTAAATGCAATAAATGAAGTTGGTCTTTACTTCTTCTTATGTTGTTGGTGTTATTCTTTTTATTATTGAAGATGAGGTTTCACCCGTAAATATGAATATACATTTGAATGGATTCTATTTGATAGATTATTTAATATTAAAGAAATCAGGAAAGGAGAACCTGAAAAAAGTTTCGGTTTTCTTTCTAGTATTATTGTATTTCATAAATTCTGAATCAACTGATAAAAATTATTTTAGCCGAATTCAATAAGTTTTTGAATTTGGTATTATTGAATTACTGCAATGCTAAAAATCTAATTTCAATAATACCAAATTTAAAAACTTATTGAATTTAGCCAAAATAATTTTTATCAGTTGTTTTAGAATTTATGATTGTCTTTGATAGAATTTTGGCATAATAAAAGTTAGATAGTATTGTTAGTTTTGTAATTATATGTCATTATGGTTAGTTAATAATAGATATAGTCAGACCTCCCTAAATGCAACCTCTATAAATGCAATAACTCCCTAAATGCACATTTTTGTCTTGGCTATATGAAATTATTAGTGCTAAATGTACGTTCTATATTCTGCAAATACACGTTCACTCAAAAGATTTTTTATATCATACTAACCTTCTTAAGTGCATGTAGCCAATCAGAAGTCAGTATTTAAGTTTGTTACACAAGTTTGCAGATCAAATATTAAAAGCTACAATTTGATTGGCTTCCTCTAAATGCAAATTTCTCTAAATGCACTTTTAGGCTAGTCTGTATATGTTGCATTTATGGAAGTTTGATTGTATTGTAATTTTTTTTAATAAAGATTTTTTATTGTGCAAATTTTATTTTATTTTTTTTGATATTTGGTTTTACGAGAAACAATTTTTTTAATTCTTTAGAGCTATGTTTTTGTTATATAATGTTGTGATCATGTAATATTGAACTAGACCAGAAGATAGATTTTCATGTAACTCAAAAAATCTCACCTATATCTTGTATCTGTTGTGTCCAACAAGTAAGTATAATTTCTACTACAGCTAGAAACTATACTTTTCTGTTTGTAGCAGTTTGGGCAAACAATAGTTTATATATTTTATTAGAGAAAATAAGATAGGCTATTCTTAGATTTCTATTTCTAAAAAATCCTACAATATTACAAAAGAGAATTTAGAAAAAAGGAAAGTCTGGGTCTAAGAGATAGATGATGCAAGTCTATTGTTAACTTGGGAAAATTTATATCTTTTTTATATCTTTAGAGCTAATCATTAATTGTTGTAGCTAAGTATAAAATGTAATCGCTAATCGTTAAGCGTTAAGTACTAATTGTAATTACTAAATATAATTGCTAATCATTAATCGTTAATTGCTAAGCATAATCGCTAATCGCTAATCATTAATCGTTAAGCGTTAAGCATACTACATGTCTGTTAAATTCTACTCTAATAATAATAACTAAATAATAATAATAATATAATAAAGTAATAAATAATAACTAAATAATAATAAGATAATAAAATAATAAATAATAAAATATAATATCTAAATCTATAACTATATACTAAAATATTTGTGTATAATAGCAAGACCGAAATGTATAACAGGTTATGCTGATCGTCAAATGATCTGCCTAACCCAAGTACCCAGATACAGATAAATTAACTATGATCTCATAATGATGAAAGTGTGTCACACTAATATGCATTTCATATCAACTATTTTTTTTTATTTACGTGTTCTTGAATATTTTTGTTTGCTCTTAAATACTTTGTTCATTCTTGAATATTTTTGTTTGCTCTTGACTATTTTATATATAAATATAAGTCTATTAAGACTATTAATACACTTGTAAAATATACTTTAAAATATATAAAAGAAGTTTATGATAAAGTTTTTAAAGAGTTACACATACATATAGTTATGAAAAGCACAAAAAATAACTCGAAGATAAAAATCTGATTTTTTGATAAATTAATTATTAATACTTTTTAGAAAGAATCTTAATTTACAACCACAGTAAAATTTATTAGAAGCAAAGTTTAGCTTTTTTTTTGTATAAATTAGTGATTATTAGCTTATATAAAATTATTGAAGTTTTAAATTATTAAATTTTTTTAAATAAAGCTTTTTGAAGCCTTTTTTTTTTGTGTAAAATAGTGATTACTAGCTTGTACAAAAACTATTAATTTTCTTTGAATAAAATTTGAGATAAAAAAGAATGATAATTTTTCGTTCTATTTTTTTTGTAGTAATTTCGAATAATTAATTTATAATGATAATTGATTTATCAGTTTATCAATGACTTCATAGTATAGCGTGGATTAGTCTAGAAAGATAATAGTTTGGCATAAATAGACTTTTATAATATTATAAAAATTTCTAAATGACTATTTTTCTTTTTTTTTTAATTGTCAATGATTTTATAATTACTAATTAGCTAATTTAGTTTTTTTTTTTTTAGATATTTTTGTAAGATAACTTATCAGAAATTTTAAAATCTGTTTTTCCTCAATATTATATATATTAAATACAAAATTTAAATAATTTACTACCATATTGAACGATAGAAGGTTTTGAAGTTCCAAATTTTAAACTAGATATATTCATGAATGTTGATAGTGGGGAAGATGCATATGAGTAGTTTATAAAGTATCAGTTCTGGTCTAAGACAACAATATCTCAAACCAGAGGTTTTGAAGTTAATGGAAGCTAAGTTATTTTTCATGAGCAACAACATTGTATTCATAGAAATAAAGTAAAAAAGAAACAAGAAAACTGTAAAATGAAGCATCTATAGTTATCTCAAACTCAAAATATTTTTTGCTTTGCAACTATTCACTTGCAGTTAGAACATTAGCGGTTTGTATTGAGCCACCCATTAGAAATAAATATTAAGTTTATACACAATCATGTTATTAATGCAGCTGAATCCTTAAGTTTTCGACCAATCAAGGAAGAAGTTCGTAACAAATTGTTAGATCTTTTCAAAAATGGTTATTTACACTTTTCAGCATTATATACTCTTAAAGATGAACTTCATCTTGGTACTAGAGATGAGCAAGAATTGGTAGAATTACTTACAGATCGAGCAACTAACCCTGATTATAATTTGGTTTATCATATTTTTCGACAATATTGCAATATTACACTTGGTAGCCATAATAGAAAATCAATGTTTGAGTGATTAGAATTAATAGTAGAAAATTATAATAAATCAGGTTACAACCTTTTTTTCTTATTTAATCGATGTTTTATAATACTACACCTTTTTTTTTTCCTTATTTAATCGAGTCATATGTTGCTACAATTTTTTTCTTATTTAATCGATTTTCTTATTTAATTGAAGTTATATGATATTAATTTTTTTCTTACTTAATCAATATCATATGAAGCTACTTTTTTTTAAATTATTATAATACATACTTTAAATATATGTATAATTAATATTTTTAATTATTAGAACGGGGTAAGGCTGCTTTGCAGAAATACAATGCAAGCTTAGAAAATATATTTATTTTATATATAGTAATGAATTTAATAGCACATGTGCACGAAAAGATTCTTCAGGCTGGTGAAATATGTAATATGGATGTGTCAGCATTATTTGATCCTTTAAATACTTTAACCACTCTTTTCTACACCAGTTGTATGGTCAGGCCCTCTCTCTAGAGTTATTTATTATATCAGATGAATTAGAGAGTATATTAGAAAAGGCAATAAGCTTATAAAAGACAATACTTTCGCTATATGCTTTTTTCAGATATAGACCAGAAATAGGGCCAATTGTTTTTTTCACTGATGATTCAAGTGCAAAAAGTAATACTTTAGAATTTTGTTAGCTATGAGGTACTTTGTCTTTTAATTTACTAATTATCTTTATTTTATAATATTGTTTAGAATTAAACTACAAAATTACAACTTTTATTATTATTATATTAGACTATTTGTAATTTACTGAGTGTATTGATAGAAAAAAAATTTGTTTTGTTAAATATTATTTATTTTCTAAATATGTTATTTTTAATAATATTAAATTTCACTAGTTTAATTAATAAGTTTAATTGATTCTTGGAATTGTATTTTTATTTGCTTTATATATAGGTACGCTTATTATAATTTAAATTAATAGTTTATTAATTCAATTGGTACTCACTACAGATATCTGTTTTTTGTGTATATTTCACGTTCTACAAGCATTCTGAAGGTAGTTGCATGATTTAAAATACCAAATTAAAAGAAAGATCAAGCGCTCATAATTAATAAAATGAAAAAAAAAATTTATATATTATCTGGCTCTGAAATAAATAAGCATTATAAGGAATTTAAGCAAAACTTTTATAATTATTTATCTTTACAAAGGTACTTTGAACATTTGTAGGAAAGATGTCATTTTTGAGCACTTTCATTTTATATTAGTTTACTCATATGTGGAAACAATACAAACAATTATATTGAACAAAGTTTCAGTATCTTAAAAGATATCATTTTTGCAAGTACACAAGCATACAATATTATACAAGTATTTCAGTTTATAATATCAAGCATAGAAAGGTTTTATAAACAATGACTCCTTGAAGTTGCTTATAAGCATCCTGGTCACTATCATATTACAAAACGGTTCTTATGCCTGGTTGGAACATAGTGGATTTGAACTTTATTAAAAGAACAAATATAGAAAATAAATTTTTAGTGAAAAGCGCAAAACAGGATAATCTTTATTATATTGTAAATAGTGGAATCAAAGTATGCACTTGTCTAACTAAAATTTCTGGTACACCCTGCAAATATCAGGATACTATCATGATTAAATATCATATTGCTATATTTAATTTTATATCTTTATTAATATCTAAAAATCATGTAATATATTTATATATCATATTTGATAAATTGGTCGATTAAAAAAACTGTTATTTTGCACTATTTAAGTAATTTATTTAGCATTAGAGATAATTCTAATTATAGAGTATTTATAGAGTATTTTGTTAATTATATAATGCATAGTATAGCGATATAATCTAAATTCTCTTGTATTTTGCAGAATACATATATATAATAATTATTGGAGTGAATTTTATTAATACATAACTTATACTTTTTTTTTAGGTTATTTTTCTGAGGATCATTCATTTTATACTTCATTATGGCCTGGTTACTTCTTGCAAGATCAAGAATTTATAATAACAAATGATATTACTAATAATAACTTTGATAAAGCTACTAAACAGAGATTATATTCTAAGATTCTTATTACTTGAATATTTATGCTAATTTACTAGCGCATTAAATTAACATTGTATTATTTCTTTTAGAGAATCAGATAAAGAAAATGATATTGATAATAATATTTTTTTTACATTTTTAGATGAGATTAAGACAGATTATAAAAATTCTGGTTCTTACTTATGCATTGCGTTTAACAATTTTGCAGAACAATATCGTTAATCAAAATCAAAATCTATTTCTCAGCTTGTTTTATTTTTTTATAACTTCAATTGCAATTCAGATCAGGCTGCTCATGTTAAAAGTAGTTCTATGATTTGTGTTCAAGTAGAATCTATTAAAAGGCAAAAATCAGAAAGATTTGGTAGTAGAAAGCAAAAATTACCTGTTGTTAGTAAAGAAAAAGAAAATTCTGATCCTCATATTATTCTTTTCTGAAAGAAGAAAAGAATGAGCAAAAAGAAATATAATTTAAGCAAATATATAATAACAAATCAGCCAAATTAAAAGTTATAAATTTATTTATTATGTATGTATTAACTGTAAAATAATATATGATTGAATATTAAATTTTAAGAAAATTGCTGCATTATAAATTGTTAATTATAAAATTGATTATATTTTTATTTTTATTTGTAATATACATTGTATTTTACTTTTATATTTATTTTTAAATACAGAATATTAAAAAAATAATTGATAATGCACAAATTTAAGTATACAAATTTACAGTTTATAGTAGCTAGTATCTAAGCAGAGTGATTTTAGCATTATTTTTCTTATTTTTATTTATACGTACTGTACATATATACGTAGTACTTATTTTTTAATAGTATTTTCATATATAAAAAATACTAGCCAATTAGAGATATATCAAGTTGATTGATAATCCAAATCAATATATTTGGCATAACCTGCTACACATTTTGGACCTGCTGTATAATGATAACATTTAGAGTATCTATTTATACTGTGTAATGATAATGTTTAGACTACCTGTATAAATAATTGATTCAATTAATTTAATTATATAACTGTTAAAACCCAATTTTTTAAACTTTAAAAAAAATTTAATAAGATAACCTTTCTTGGGCTTCTAATTAAAGTTGTAAAGAAGATTTTTCTGGTTTTAATAGTGTTTAGATCATCAAAATTGGTTTGGTAAACTTCAAGATATTTGGGTTTAAAGATGCGAATATAAGGATCTATGAATTGGTGATTATACAAAGTCTTATAGTTTATAATACTATATTGATAAGTAAACCGAGCTTTACTCACTAAGTAAAGTTGTTCGAAATGCCATCTTT